AAGAAACAGTAACAACTTAGTACTATAGATCCATGTTATAGCAAGTACTTACATAATCTTGGATGAAAATAAAACAGGCAGCAGAAGAACACATACCTGATTTTGGATCTTGGGTAATTTTAACTTCTGGTGTTATTACAGAACCAAGTAGTGCTGAAACAATGAGGATACCTTAAATCAGTTTCCTAAATCCTTAACAACTCGATTATGTGCAGAACATACATTCCACAGCAGAATCAAAAGTTAATTTCTCAGGCCAATAGCTTAGAGTGTAAAATTAATCTTTCCACTTTCCTTTTTCCCCCCTAATCAAATCTGTTATTCAAATATTGCAAAGAAATAAACACAGTATTCAATCATCTTATCATCACAGTCAAGCTATACCATAGTGAATTTAACACAAAAGTATTTTTGGTTTAAATATATCAGAATTTTAGAAGGATTGACCTGAACTTCTCTGTTTATCAATCAAAGCATCAGATTGCTCCATTGTACCATTACAGTCATGCTCACAAAAAGAAGTACCCTTAATCTTCTTCTCACCAGATGATGGACTATGGCCTCTTATAACTGGCTCATCATCAAGAAGGTCATCATTATCAGATAAAACTTCAGTAGTATCTGTCCCTTCACCATCACTCTCAAGGGAAACTTCATCATCAAACTCATCCAACAACTGTGTGTCAATTCCCACATTCTCAATATAATCTGAATCATCCAAAACTTGTGTTTCACCACCTAGATTCCACACTTGTGTTTCCCCATCAAGATTCACAACTTGTGTCTCCATTGCATTCTCAACTGGAACATCATCATAGAACAGTGCCGCACGTGTAGATTGTAATTCATGACCATCAAGATCATCAATTTTATCACCTAGAAATTTAAATTTTTTGAAAGATACTTCATTATCAAACTTCAAAACAAATCAGACAGCATACCAAGTAGCATATGAGAAAGGTCTAAACATTTAAACTGGCAGATTACTACCACACTGTCCTGAACCATACACATTTAATCTTATCGACCGAATCATACACACATTTTACTGATTAATACAAAGCAATGCAAAAAAAAAAAATCTATTTCTATTCCTTACTTTTTTAAAAACCAAAGTTTCTTCTTTTAGACATATCCAAAAACATTGGAAACCAGAAGAATCAAAGATTGAATAAACATTACCGAGAAATTGAAGCGGTGAAGACTGAGAATTGAAAGGCTGTGTCTCGGCATGGGCGAAATCGGCATTCTTGTTCCCTTCAGTGGGTCTAAATTCACCAGTACCATCCCCAAGCGACACCATTTCACTCAATTCATCTGCGAACAGCGACGTAACCACATGAAAACCCTAAAAGGCAGGAACTTTCCACATCATAGAGCAACTTCCTTTAAACATAAAAGGAAACAGAATTTGGAGGGCCGTCAAGATTTCCAGAAAAGAAGATCGGAGAGCAGAGAAGAACTTACTTAAATGCAGCGACGAAGATATGGAGAGTAAGGGTTAGGGTTTCGGAGGGAAGAGAAGGAATTTCGGCGGGAAGATTGAAGCTAATGGGGGCAAATTTTGCTGAGAAAGTAGTATTATCATCCCCAACCTCTTGCCTCGTCTCTGTCAGACAACACTATTACACTAGTTCAACTTTTCTACTTTTTTTTCTTTTTAATATTTAACGATTTTAAAAAGTTTTAGGAAAAAATCATTGAGACTGGGAATTTGGTCTAATTGTATGGTTTTCGTTCTGAATGCCCTTAGGTTCCGTGGGACTTATTTTTAATTGAAAAAAATTATTATTTTATTTTACAAATTATATAATACAGTAAAATAAAAAATTTTAAATGAGAAAAATGTCGTCACTTTTTTTTATTAATTTTTTATATTTTTAAATCATATTAAATCTTAATTAATTTGAAATCTATATAAAAAAAATTTTTTCAACACTTATTTTTCTATTTAAAAAATTTAAGGTCAAAATCTTATTTAAGGAGGATCAAATTTATTCTATTTGGATCAATATGTAGTTGGTAAATTGTCGCTTATTCAAAAATTCATATTTTACACTTTCGAGAGTCAAAATTATTTTTTGAAAAGAAAAAAAAAAAAAATCAGATGCGCTTGAATTTCTGCAAATCGGACGGCCAAGAAACCACCCCCACCCAAAAAAAGAAATAATTAACGGTTTTTTGTCGGACGGCCGGGAACAAAAAATGAGAAATAACGGTTTTATTGTGGTGGTAAGACGGAATTAGGAGGGAAAAAATTGATTGGGGCGTTCCGAGAATCGAACTCGGGACCTCTCGCACCCAAAGCGAGAATCATACCACTAGACCAAACGCCCTTTGATGTAGAGTACACTCAATTTTTCCTTTGTAACCTCTTTCTTTCTGCCTATTGATCAATATGGAAATCGAATCAACTAACTTATATATCCGAACTGAGACATAACTCATTTCTTTGGTCGATAAATTGAGAATTATTTAAAGTAACGTTTGATGAAATTTCACAATAGTGATATATTATCAATGAGGTGAGATGTACTACTAACACCAACGCCAGACACGCAACATTCATGTGATTGGTGATTATTTGTAGAAGTTAGAGTTACCACTATTCAAAATTCGAAGTTATTACTAACATGTGATGTATGGTCACATAGCCCAATTATGGTGAAGTTTGTTCAAGAGCATTAAAAAAGGTGTTATACCGTTATGTTAGTTTGAGTAAAAAAATTTTGATTCTTTTTAAATAAAATTTCAAATGCAAGTATTATAAATAGAAAAACAGACGCTGAAAAAATTTTTCTCTTCATAAGATTCAACAAAATTTAATTTTAAATTAATCGAAATTCACTATAATTATTAAAAACCAAGAGATTAATACAAAAAAAATACCAAAAAAAAAAAGTGTTATTAACACTTCTCTTCGGATGAAACCATGACTGCTTAGTTTGTTCTGTTTGGTTTTGCTTGGGTTCTGTTGTGTCTCCGATTATTATGCAGTGTTGAGCTGTTGAAAAAACCTCTAAAACATGACACATTTTAGTCATAAGATCTCGAGAAGTTCAAAAAAAAAAAGGCCCGGGGATCAGTCACCAAATGTTGCAGAAATGTTCAATATTCAAAGACTTGGCCGGCCACTAGCTTCAAAACATAAAATTACTCCCGACTCGAGTAAAACAAATAAGGAAAACAAGATTTACTTAAAGCTCCATTTTCCCTTCTTGACCTTCTTCCAACCCTTAGTCAAGAACCAAAGAGTGGAAATGAAAGGCAGCAAACATCCCCCAACATATATCATTGGACACTCAACATCAAGTAGGCATGAAAACCACAAACCATTTCTTACCAAGAGAACAAAATGATTAGAGACATAAAACCCAGATTAGACAGCGATAGAATTTGAGAAAGACAGGACTTGCAATTTGGTTAACGAGCTAGTTTCCACTAAGTTTGTAATTTCACGAATAATAAAGGTTAAAAGCTTGTGACCATAGTAACTGCCAGGACGATAGGGCAAAGCTCTTTGCTAGGATACTAATATATAATCTACATCAAGGTGTGAGAGCTAACAGTATCACAGAAAAAAAGCAGTTTACAGATAACTCCAGCTGTAATTTCGTTTTAACATCTATAAGGTGAAAAAAATGCACCTTTTCTTGGTTGGCTAATACACTTAGGGCAGACCCATTGGTAAGCTGTATAAAACTAGCCAAGCTGCATGGCAAAACCAGAAGCTCCAGAAACTGGAAAGAAGAACATAACAAGAAGGACGTCACACCTGAAGAACACAATTTATGCAGCTCAAATCTTAGGCAAGGAGACTTTGCCTCCATGATCTGCTCCAGACACCAGCGTTCTATGAAAAGTAGCCCAGCTAAAGAAACAAAAAATATACAAATGTTAAGCATAGCAGAAGAATTCAACCTGTTAGCAGGATGGTCCAATATTAAGATGAAAAATAATATACCGGTAATGCTGCAGGATCAAGTTCCCAGAAGCCTCTTAGGCCACCACCCCTCTCATCTGTCAACCGGAAAGAAGGCATCTGATGGGAGAATCTAAGCAGCTCCACCCTAGGAATTTCCACCGTCACATATGTTCTGCCCTTCAATGTGGCCTTGAAGACCGAGTTGAAGCCATTCACACGCTCTAAAATGATTACCTTTATCCACAAATCACTCTCATCCATCACCTCCACAACATCATATTCCCAGTTCTCCAGGTCAGAAAGTTTGATTTCAGCAGTCCAGTTCCTATACAATGCCCAGACCTCTCCTTTCCTTGGGAAGATCTTGTATTCATTCTTTCTACCAGCATCTTCTGCTTTTAACTGATGTGAAAAAGAAGAAGTATTAGCATACACCTGGGATGAACCTTTTTTAAGTTTAAATCTTCCACAACAAATGGGCATTTTTTTATCATGCCACTGAATCATTTTTTGTGATGGGCAGGCAATAAGCCAATTTACATGCAATTTGAAAACTGGGTTTGACTCAATTTTGATAATTTGACCATAATATTTAGGCAAGCCATCCTCGTCACAGTACAAAGACCAAATCTGCCCAACTTGAAACTTTTCCTGGGATCTTTCATCATCAAAATTGTAAAATTCTGGATCTGGATATTCAATGTTTCCTGGGAGTGAAGCTGAACAAGAAGTATGATCTTCAGCAGCATTGTTAGCACTATCATTCTCAAGATTTATGGCAGTCCGCTTCACTCCATCACAGTTCAAGGGAGCACTTTTTTTAGAGCCCATCCTTTCTTTCGCTTTCTCCAAAGGACTTGAATGTGAGTCCACAGGAACAGAAATTTCTTCGAGCTTGGCAGGCAACGAAGCTGGATCAAGTTCAAAGGATCCTTTTGGCACACCTTTTCTCTCATCGCCAGTCAGTTTAAATGATGGAACCCTGTGGGAAAACCTGAAGAGTTCACCAGGTGGAATTTGAAATGCATCAATTCCATCCTTCACCATTCGACAGAATAGACTCACAAAGCCTTTCACCTTAACCAAGTAAGCAACATGTATACCTACACCCTCAGCGTATTCTGATAAGATTTCAACAAATTCATATTCAAACTTCCCGTTAGTGCCTACATCAGAGTTCCATTTGATATCCCAGTTTTTGAAGAGGGCCCATGTTTCCCCCTTTCTTGGAAATATCTTGTAAGTATCTCTACCAGTTCCTTTATCGCAATACACCAAATGAGAGAACATGAGACGATCTTCAGTGTTTTCCATGTCCCCATGTCTGAACTTTCCACATGAAACTGGCAAACCTTCATCAACCCATTTGATTTCCTTCTCATCATCTGGATCAGGTTCCAGCCAGGTCATGCGAAGCTTGAACCCAGGAGAAAAGACTTTTCTGATTCGAACATAAAATCTAGGCATTGCACCAAGTGTATCATAAGCAGCCCAAATCTGCCCTGCAGCAAAACACTCCTCTTTTCTGTCCTTGTCAAAGTCATGAAAATCTGGATCAGGGTATGAATAGATCTCAGGACCTTGGGAGCTTTGGGGGCTTAAATTTGACTCAGAATCAGCATTAAAATTCTTCTTACCACCATCACCACAATCTTTAAAAAATTTCTTAGGATCACTGTCTTCTACTGTTTCTTTTCCAAACACCTTGGTTTCCTTCTTCCCATTGGCTAAGCTCCCTTGGAAACGAGCACCTTTGGTCTGCTCCATCACTTTTGGCAGGCCAGATTGATTGTTCATTTTAGGTGCCCCTCCTTTTAGTGCATCTCCATTCTCTTCAGCTGCATTAGATGAACCACTCCCCTTCACCCTTTTTGGCATGCTAACCAAGTCCTCGTCATCACTTAAATTTTCTTTGTAGGAAACCTCTTGCTTGCGCCTACCAGATCTACGCAAATTCTCTCCAAAACATCCAAAATCCTTTCCAGCCTGAACATCACCACTCTCATCAATCAGAACATCTTCTTCTGAGTCACTGCTGCTCTGTGTATCACAACTTTCACTGGATTCCACTGTTTGCTTCCTTCCTCTCTTCCCATTCACATTTTTAGTTCCAACATGCGAAGCATGAGGCACCTTTGAAGAAGAAGCCACTTCAGGATTCTCAGTACTAAGCTTCTCACGAAATCCTTGTTCCATTTTCTGAGCACTCTGACTCTGGACATCTTTTTGTTCAGGGACTTTTGGTTGACTCGGGTTAGTTGCTTGAGGAGCTGCACCTAAATTATATGCAATAAAGGACTTATTACAAGTTTGACAACGAAGAGTCCTGTGGAGAATGTCTGTATAATACTGGTATCTGACAGTACAAAATGGACACTTGGTCCAGAAAGTTGGCCGGCCATTGCTATATGCTTGTTGAGATTGCTGTTGTGGCTGCTTTTGTGGGGGAACTGAGCCTTTACAGTTGGGGCGGAAATTGGACCTAGCGGTAACATGAGTGTGCGAACTTGAAGTCTGTGGGTGCCTAGATGCTGGTGCTGCTTGTGCTGAACTTCTAAAAGTTACTCTCCATTTCATGTCATACGCAGACCTTTTACTTTGGTCCAAAAGCACTCTCTGAGCTTCTCCAATCAGCTTAAAAGCAGCTTCTGCACCAGGAAATTTATTTTTATCAGGGTGCAGCAGGAGGGCATACTTCCTATACTGCTTCTTGATTGTAGCCTCATCTGCATTTTGCCCAATCTGAAGTATGCCATACCAATCCATCTCATTCCCAAAAATCATTTTTTCAGCAGCACAATGTACTTCACAGACCATTAGCATCTGAGATATGTTTTCCAGATCATTATAGAGCTGTTGGGCCTTGAGCACAACTTTGCGAGCCCCTGGAAAATCCTTGCTTATCATCTTCTTCTCTGCAATTTCCTTGGCCCTAATGGCCTCTTCTTTGTTGCACTCCATCACCATTGTAGAATCATAAAAATGGACAGAGGTTACTTTAACTAGTTAGACACCACAAAAGAGCAAAAGACTGCATTACATTAGAATGAAAAAGCACAGTCATAAGATGTTTGTTTCCTCCAGAATCTCCACAATATCATCCAAGACGTCAACTATACACTATTACACTGCCCAAACCTGTCCTGCAATTCATCAGATTTTATTAATTACTAGCCATGTACTGTAGATGAAGGAACAATGGAAAAATGAAGAGGAAAAGTAGGTGGAAGAATCATTCACAAAAGTGCAGATACTAGATGCGAGAATTTACATAATATATGTTTAAGCATGTTGCAGCATTCAATTTTAAGTCAAAACCTAAAGACAGCCACACATTTGAGGTCAAAAAGTAATTGCTAAACAGCATATAGATAATCTGCAAGGCAAAACAGCGAATTAGCAATAACAACATGAAGAGAAGCATGGGAGAATGTGGAAAAATAATTAAAAATAAGGCAATGAGAACTAGCTCAATTAAGTTTTGAGCCATTAAACAAAACAACCTAGCAGAAATAAATGGATTACAGAAAGCCGCAAACTATCAAAGTAAATGGATTGTCAAAAGCAATAAATAAAAGTTTTCTTAAGGATGCATCACGAACACACTAAAACCTATAAACCAAACAATAAAAGATTACAAACAGAAGCTGACCAACAAGTCATTCACGCCTACTATTTCCATTTCTGTCACATAGTCATCCCATTACCATTAACATTACTACCATGGCAAAATGCAAAACATGAGAACACAACTTAAACATTCAACCCTTAGAGATACTAACATTCTAAGGAAACCTTTCACATGCAAATAACAAAAATTTCAAACGAAGCTCAAAACTTCATAGCCAAAACCCACCCCTTCCGCACAACTAAACCAACAAACCTGTTTAAAAAAATAAAGAACCCATTTTACCCAAATTACATATTGGAATAGGCCGCAAACCCCACAAATACCCATTCTGCAACCACAGTTATATCATAACCCAATAACACAGGCACCCGTACATACGTGCACAGTTCAAAACATGTAAACATGCAAATTACTTTCTACGTGAAGCAATGGTACTTGGGAAAGCTCAGGATTCAAATATCCTTCAAATTAAATCGAAAAAGAACCCTAGAACTAGAAAATCAAAGAAGCGGGAAATGAAAAACACACACACAAAAAAAAAAGGTTGATAAACTGGGGGACATAAATGGGTAACATAGAACTTACTTGTTTTTAAAGAAGAATGAGTGCTAAGACAAGAGGTTTTGGGGTTATACAAAGAGCCAGAAACTGGAGGAGGAAGAAGAGGGAGAGCAACTGGAGAAGAACAGGAACAGCAAATTGGGAGTCTGACTCAAATATCTGTATTGCCACTCCTTTTGTGTGTTCCAACAACAGGGATTGCTGTAATTTGAATTAAGTTTAGGGGCAATTTTGGATGGATATTTTGCTTATTTGCAACGTAAGTCCTTATATTTTTATGAATTTGCAAGATTATCTTCCCGTTCTATTTTAATTGTCACACTTTTACGAGGTACTTTAAATAATAAATTTTTTTGTTTTTAGATAATTAAGAGTGTATTTGAAATTTTTGTGAAATATTAGACTATAACGGTTATAACTGTGCTGAGTTGTAGTGTACTGTAGTTGTGATTGAAAGTTATTTTGATATTTGATTATTTATTTCTTAAAAACATTAATGATGAAATATGATAGATTTTATTAATTATTATAATATTTATTATTTTTTAATAATTTA